GCTGAATATATTTTTGAGCCAAGTGACATCATCAGTGTGCAGCCTTTCGTCCTCATCAGTGCAATTTTAAAGTGCACGGACAGGCTCCAAATCTGGCTCCCAATGAGTTTACAGTAGCAGAAGTTATGAGCAGTGGTTCTCCTATGATTTACTAGGATTTTGCAAAAGCCTTGTTACCATAAAAAATTTACCATTTTTGCTGCATTCTCTGCTCACTTCGATAAAATACCCAAACATTTATTCACATATATTATTTTAATGAAAGGAAATATCTTGAGGCAATTGAATGTTTGAATAATGATGTGTTTCCTGCCTTTTCAGTTGTGCACTATAATATCAGTTCAGATGTTAAGAGAAAGATTGGCACTCCAGCCAGATTCTACTTCTCTTCCAATGGGACCAGCGATGTATATTCAGGGAAAATTGAATTGTACCAAAAGTTTGTAAATTGTAAAATACACCAAGCATTCATGAGGGTGAGTTAACAAATAACCCTGGTAAAAACACAGTCCTGAGATTTTGAAGGGTTACGTTGTGTAACCCTTTATGTAATTTGGGTTTGCATCATGTCCAGATCTAAATTGCAAATACAACATACAGAGTTTGCACACAGAAAGTTTTCAATGCTTTGGGACCACTGTGAACAGGTAAAAGGTAAGTGAACGATGGAAGCATTGTTTGTAGCTTCAGGTTGGCAGAGTGAGACATCTTGATAAAAATTGGCTAGTTAAAGCTGAACTTCAGGTTAATCAGATATGTTTTAACACAAGTGGAATAAGTATGTGTACTTAAATCTAGGCCTTCATTGTGTATTTCTTCTAACATCTGTAAAGTAATCCAGCTTGAAACAACTCCTGTGCTTTACCCCTGTGCAGGGTGCCTGGTCTTGCCTCCCAACTCCCTTGTTGTCTTTGAAGCCAGCCCACACCCCATGTGATAGCAATAAAGTTAGGTGAAAAAAAAAAGCTTATAATGTAAAGCTATACCCAAGCACATCCCCCCCCAATTTGAAGCTCCACCCAGCACCACTTTGTACACATGAAGATATACGCGTACATTTCCGGGATAGCTATGCATGAAAATGTCAATTGCGCTACACGTATTAGATATTGCTGTGTACGCTGAAATGAGAATAATTCTAGTGCCATCATTTACAGTTAACTCTAATCTGCCAACCTGTAAGGGCTTTTAAGGCATTACCTATGGGAAATTTAGTATACTGAAATTTGTTTCAGTTTCACAGGTGAACACAATTTTAGAGCTGACATGTTTGGTATCTATGTACTCTCTGCAAATTCATATTTTATATTTTGCAAAAAAAGGGTAAAATATTTGTGTTTATGTGGGTAAAATTAACTTTAGTGTATTTTTTTACTCAAATATGGGTTTGATGAACTGTTGTGCTAATATACTATGACATCAAAAGAATTATCACTACCATGATTTTGTTCTCTCATTTTTTCTTTCGCGCATGGCTGTCAATTGTGATTAGTGAGGGAGCAGCAGCTAGGCAGAAGCACAGGATGTACTACACACAATGTACGATCGGACCCTCAATTCATTTCTGTGGAGCGGCAGATGTAAATGGACTTGTGTCCGTGTAGACCTGCCTACCTCCATTCCGAAAAACAGAAGGTGAATTGTTCCTCTTCTGTCTAGCGTATCGGATTGGAGAGCAGCCGGGTGTAAACACACAGCCAGTCTGTTTACACCCGACCACCCATAGAGTAGAGTGGGATGTGTCCACGTTTGCTCTGTAGAAATGGAGCAGACACGGACATGTCATTCACCAGCTCTGCTCAGTAGAGATCAGCAGACAGATCCCCACTGAGAAAGCCATAGATAAGCGGAGTCTGGCCCATGTGAAAGGGGCCTTAGAGGTTGGGTGAAATAAGCAATGCAGAATTACACTTTTGGAAGTTAAATAGTATGTTTTTTTTATAGAGGTTTATATGTTAAAAACAGGGCCATAACTAGGGAGGAATGAAAGACAAAAGGGATTTGATTCCAAAAGAGGCACGTTCTTCAAATTAGGGAGAGTTTGGAGCTATGAGTAAATGACAGTCTTAGTGGATACAAGCTACACATAGCATGATCTTGTGCTGAGATGCTGGTATACAAAGAGTTACTGAAGTGTTAAATGAGTTTTAATGCATCTCCTAGTTGTATTAAATAAGGCTGAAGGGTCTTTAATTATAAAATGAAGTACAACATATTCTGTTTTTGTAAAACAGTAAATATTCATATAGTATAAAATGTTTTCACATCAATGAACTTACAGCTGAAAATCCTATGTTTTAAATGAACTGTGTATGACTTTTTGCACGTTTCCTTTATTTTCTGAAATTCAGTCACATTTAATTAAATTGAAAAACAGAATAATTAATAGTTAATTAATTTTATGGATTAATACGCACAAAATCATCGCTAGGCTCTTCAAATTAAATTACCTGAACATGTGGTCCAAGCACACACTTTGTGCTTAGGAATGACTAGTGCAAAATCTTCGAATAAACAGTTTTGTTTCAGGTACTTCTATATATAGCCCTGCATGGCACAGGATTTTTTTTTCTTTTTTTTATAGTTGTCAGTTCTTCCATGGGAGGGCTAAAATTGACTAGATGTTGCAGAATTAATGTGGTTCTGAATAGAATAGTGACCCAAGTAGGATGGGTCTAAACTGTCACCACCTGTAGCATAGTATTAGGCAGGGTGTGTGGGACTTGTGCCATAAATGAAGAGTTTTGGACCTTTGACAGTAAAATACGTTTTTCACAGTTACCAAACTTGAAAGAAAAATGTTAAGACTCTGCTAAAAATGGGCCTATGGCACAGTGACTTAGGCTTGATGGCTGGTTTTAGGCAAGGGAATGGTTAAACTTATTGCCTCTGCAAGGTTTAAAAATACCATTTTAGTGTTCTTAAAAGTTGTTTTGAACGTTTACAAAATAATTAGTCAAGATCTTATCTTTTTTCATCACATCCAATTTTGCAATTAAGTTTTTGCATGCTTGAATACAGTTAGGCTTTATTCACAAGCATATTTTATTTACAGATCAAAATGTAACTGCATTGTTTTCATTGGAGACAATCACACAGAATCTAATAATCTGTGTCTGAGAACAAACATGCTAGATGCAGGTATTGGAAAAAAAACAGGACAATTTTGCACAAGTATTTATTGATCATTAGAAAAAATTGAATAGAGCTGAGTGGTACATTCACACAAGTGTCTTGACAACATCTCTAAATGATTATAATACAAATGAAGAATCCCTCAAGGGGCTTTAAAGGCCATATTGTGAATGTAGATTTTAAAGGCGATTGACAATCTTTATTACACTCATAGTAAAAACCAATAGGTCAATAAAATTACACCAAAGGATAGAAAATTGTTACATACAAGTACAACATATTGCAATGCTTAGTCAGAGATAAGCTTCTTGTCCAAGATATACCAAAGGAAGCTGCCAATGACAATTCAACTTGGTCATTATTAGGAACATTTGTGCTACAAACAAACATGCGTAGTTAAATCAGTAACATTTTTATGCCCTTGTGAATGTAGCCTTAAAACATCTGCTCAGTAACAAGACCAACAGATATTTATTGATTTATTTATTACAGGTACATAAATAGAGCCGTCAATTTACACAGCGCTTTACATATATATTGTACATTCACAGCTTTAAAAAAAATGCTAATTTGGCTTTTATGCTGACTTTCTTTCTTAACCCACCTAGATCAAGTAATATTGATAAGAACGTTTTTGACTTTTCTGATTAAAATACTTATTCTCAGTTATTTAGAGTATTGAAATTAGTCAGTTATCATACCAGCCAGTGATTTCAAAATGACAACAGCAAAAAGAGACAGCCCTTCATTTTTATTGTGATAGGCTGTGCTAGCTGTAAATTATGAGAATCCTATTAAAAAAAAATTCTCATGCTTGGTATTTATGTGTTTGCTATAGTAAAGAATTTCCCGTTTCATTATATTATTTCTAATATTTTGACTTTTGTAGTACATATGTTTTCTTTCTCTGTATTGATTATTGAAATTATTTGATATATTTTCTGTTTGTTTTTTGGTAGAGAGATATAAGAGACATCCTGACTCCAATACACATGGAATCTCGATACTATCTTGGAAGACACATTGTTCATAAAAGGAATACAGATGAATTCAAACCACTTCAGCCAATTCTGCAGAGGAAAGATGGGGAAGAAAATGTGCTACGAAATGCGGTAAGCATCCAACCATAGATTGTTTAATATTGTTTCTTAGGTGCATATTTCTTTTAAATTAAAGTGGTTAATTAAATTAAAGTCATTCTAAGGGTAGAATAGAATGGATAAACTTTAAAAAAAAAACCCATCTGGGCGCAGCTGCCCCTTTTACTTACCTGAGCCCCATCACGATCTATCCTCATTGGCTCTTACAGCAACAGGACCATAGGCTCCTGCTGCTGTCAATCACAGCCAGTGAGAAGTAAGTGGGGAGTGAGGCTGAGGCACGCTCTGTGTGTAAATGGACAATGTCCATTCACAGGAGGGAAGCTTGGTAGCAAGCCTGCTTGACTGCCCCCATAGCAAGAGGATTTCTATCGGGGGCACTCGGCAGGGGGAAGGAGCCAAGATCACCAGGGGGGGGGCAAAAAGAAGAGAATCAGAGCTGCTCTGTACCAAACCGTGGCACAGAGCAGGTAAGCGTAAGTGTAGTTTGTTTTTTTTCTTACAACCTTTAGAATCAATTTAAGAATAAGGGTGAGACTTGGATTTGTCTCAACCTTTGGTTTGTGGTGGGTTTCTAGGATTCTCATTCAGGCCAAATCCTGAACTATTGGCTGATTTTGTGTGTTTGAGCTTTGGAATAACCCATAAAGCACTGCTTTGCACCTCTTGACACAAAAGCCACAAATATCAAAATGGTGTTTTTTTTGTTTTCATATTTGAAGGCAGTTTTATTAAATACAACGTGTCCATGCACATTGGGTTGACTAGCTTAATTTACTAGAGCAGCTTTCAGAGACATAAAACTGAAACTCCATAGATCTGCATTAAGGCATTTTTTTTACACACATACATGCCTAAATGTATTCTAATGGCTATAGTAAATTATTGCTCCAGCCAATAGACGTTTACACACATAAGCTTCTAGGCTTCTAGAGGGTGAATCTTCCTAATGGTGCACTTACAGCAATAAAATCCTGACAGGTGCATTCTATGCATGAAGATAAAAAAAACCTTCTGTTTGCAGCAGCTCCCCCAGCCCTCAATACTTACCTGAGCCTCATCGCGATCCAGCGATGTGAATGACAGCATGGGCTGTTCTGGGTCTCTACCCCCCTCATTGGCTGAGACAGCAAGTGGGAGCCATTGATTCCCGCTGCTGTCAATCACAGACAGTCAGCCAAAGAGGAGAGAGAGGTGGCGGGGCAAGCAGCAACTCCATGTGTGAATGGACACACGGAGCAGCGGGTGCTGTGGGGGCACCTGAGAGACAGAAGAGCCTGTGTGGGACCTGAGAAGAGAAGATCCAGGCTGCTCTGTGCATAACCACTGCACACAGCAGGTAAGAATAGACATGCTTGTTATTTTACAAAAAAAAAAAAATAACCTTTAGAATCGTTTTAAAATATCCTGTTTTTAATACTAAAGGATAAGAATAAAAATAGAGGTCACAGTCAAAAAATGAAATACCCCAGAATCAGAGAACTAAAATGTTTATCAGGCAGAGTGAAAAACAGGAGCAGAATAGCAGAAGATACTGGGTAAAGATAAACACAGTCAGGATTTCCTTATCTTGATAACCAGTAAAAATGTGACACAGTGAACTCTTCTCATACTAAATAATTCATGATTTCAGCAATTCAATCATCTTCACTCATCTGGACAGAGTTCATTAGTCTAAAGGGGTTTTCTAGTTTTATGCAGTCCCTTATTGAAAATAAAAGTTCAACATTCTACAGAATACAGCTAAAGCTGCTATGTTTGCTCCATCTAATCCCTTCTCCATTATTTATATTCTTCTTGCATGTGCATTTATTAGAAAAAATCTAACCGTATTGTCATCATATGTTTCACCAAGCAATGTGCATTGCTCAGATTTTTTTGGGCGAGTGACATTCTTGCCTTTGTAAGGTTCATACTGGTGGACAGGGCTGCACAGAGCATTTACCTATACAAATGGGTCATGCAACTCATCTTTGGTGATCATACTGAATTATAAGGCTATATATACCAGGGTTTCCCAACTAGGGTTCCTCCAGAGGTTGCTAGGGGTTCCCTGAGCAATGAGAAATGTCTGCCTCACAGATAAGTTAACACTGACACCATTGATCCTTGTAGCTATCTTTAAGGGGAAATTCTTCCTAATGACCACAAGTGCAAGGAGCATTCTTCCCACTGACCATTACACTAATGTCTCATGAGCTGTAGGTATAATACATTTTAAAAGAGGTTCCCTGAGACCAGAAAGTTATTTCAAGGGTTCCTCTGTGTTGAAAGGGTTAAGAAAGGCTGAAATATACTATCTGACTACTTTTAATTTAGTAAATTACAGAGAAATACAGCAGTCCTATATAGAATTGTAGTGAGAAGGCTAAAATATTTTTTTAATTTTAATCCATGAGTACAAGTAACAATTGGATAGTTTTCAACAATGACAAGACGGGAGGGTTTGGTATGGCTGAGAATGCATTTGGAAATTTTTTACCAATAGAAACCCTGATTAAAAAATAGGATTTATGATCCATCCATATATAAAATATTTGTAGTTTGCATAATAAATGCCTGATGAAAAATATTGAAGGTTGATGCCTAAATGGTATGTATACAGAGGAACATACAATTTCATATACAGTGCATCCAGAAAGTATTCACAGTGCTTAATTTTTGTAACATTTTGTTATGTTACAGCCTTATTCCAAAATGGATTAAATTCATTTTTTTCCTCAACATTCTACAAACAATACCCCATAATGACAACATGAAAGAAGTTCATTTTGAAATCTTTGCAATTTATTAAAAATGAAAAATACCACATGTACATAAGTATTCACAGCCTTTGCTCAATACTTTGTTGAAACACCTTTAGCACCAATTACAGCCTCAAGTCATTTTGAGTATGATGCTACAAGCTTTGCACACCGATTTTTTGGGCAATTTCTCCCATTCTTCTTTGCAGTACCTCTCAAGCTCCATCAGGTTGGATGGGGAGCGTTGGTGCACAGCCATTTTCAGATCTCTCCAGAGATATTCAATCGGGTTCAAGTCTGGGCTACGGCTGGGTCACTCCAGGACATTCACAGAGTTGGTCCGTAGCCACTCCTTTGTTATGTGAGCTATGTGCTTAGGGTTGTTGTCCTGTTGAAAGATGAACCGTCACCCCAGTCTAAGATCCAGAGCGCTCTGGAACAGGTTTTCATCAAGGATGTCTCTGTACATTGCTGCATTCATCTTTCCTTCAATCCTGACTAGTCTCCCAGTTCCTGCTGCTGAAAAACATCCCCACAGCATGATGCTGCCACCACATTTCACTGTAGGGATGGTGTTGGCCAGGTGGTGATCGGTGCCTGGTTTCCTCCAGACATGACGCTTGCTATTCAGGCCAAAGAGTTCAGTCTTTGTTGCATTAGACCAGAGAGTTTTATTTCTCATGGTCTGAGAGTCCCTCAGGTGTCTTTTGGCAAACTCGAGGTGAGCTACCAATTGCCTTTTACTGAGGAGTGGCTTCTGTCTGGCCACTCTATCATACAGGCCTGATTAGTGGAGTGCTGCAGAGATGGTTGTTCCTCTAGAAGGTTCTCCTGTCTCCACAGAGAAACGCTGGAGCTCTTTCAGAGTGACCACCGAGTGCTTGGTTACCTCCCTGGCTAAGACCCTTCTCTCTCGATCGCTCATTTTGGCCTACTCTAGGAAGATTCCTGCTGGTTCCAAACTTCTTCCATTTATGGATGATGGAGGCCACTGTACTCATTGGGATCTTCAATGCTGCATATATTTTTCTGTACAATTCTCCAGATCTGTGCCTTGATACAATCCTGTCTCAGAGGTGAACGGACAATTCCTTGAACTTTATGGCTTGGTTTGTGCTCTGACATGCACTGTTAACTGTGGGACTTTATATAGACAGGTTTATGTCATTCCCAATCATGTCCAATCAACTGAAGTTCCCACAGGTGGACTCCAAGTTCTGGAAACATCTCAAGGATGATCAGTGGGAACAGGATGCACTAGAGCTCAGTATTGAGCAAAGGCTGTGAATACTTATGTACATGTGGTATTTTTCATTTTTAATAAATTGCAAAGATTTCAAAACAAACTTATTTCACATTGTCATTATGGGGTATTGTTTGTAGAATGTTGAGGAAAAATTTTAATTTAATCCACTTTTGAACAAGGCTGTAACATAACAAAATGTGGCAAAATTAAGTGCTATGAATACTTTCTGGATGCACTGTATAACAAAAAAGAGCAAAAAAAAAAAATACAAAGGCTAGTGTATTAAATGCAAGAACAAATTTTGACCATTCAAAGCCCTTATAAATTTTTAGAGAATGGATGGTAGAGATCTGAATTTATTTTATATAATTCTTTATTTATCAGATCATAAAAAAGACATTAGATACAAACTTGTACTGAAAAACATTGCTATAGCATAAATACCATCAGCACTCAGTAGAACATTTACAATCATATAGCATTCAGGTGAGAGTATCGTATTGAATGTTTGACTTCTACTGGTAGAAATTATTATGCACAGTAAAACAGATTGCTCCATTATCTGATTTCAAGTAGGCTAACTCATTATAAGGTTATGTTTTTTTCTGGAGAGTTTGGGTGAAAAATGTATACTTCATTATTGATACGAGGAGTTGAAGCAATATGAATTTTGATTGGTTGCTGTGGTTATTACTTGTTCTCATTGCTCTGTGTACTACATTATTAAATATGTCTTGTAACCATAGTTCATATGCAACATTGTATGTTTCCTGTCAAAGCTCTTACATGGAAAATCTGTGTATATACCAGCAGCAGGTCTTCACACAGTATTGTCATGGGACTTCTGTTTAAAAGACGAGGAGCCATATAATTCTCATGGGGCAGTATGGGACTGGTAGCACCATGTTCCCTTTCCTGAAATGAATAAAACATATGGACAGGGAGGCACAGCTTTTCCGGGCTTTGCTTCATTTAATGAAGCTTTCTGCAGCTGTTGTTTTGTTTGGCATGGAGATGCCAAATGTAACTGGTGTATTCCAGTCCCAAATAGATAGATAGATAGATAGATAGATAGATAGATAGATAGATAGATAGATAGATAGATAGAGTTTTTACAATAATAATACAAAATTCATCCATTCATATAACAATAAGAAAATATACAAAACAAGATTGTACTGTATATCCAGAGGAGCATTAGATACACAAAAAGACCAAAGAGAACTACCTAGAATATTAAATATATATAAAAACTGACAACGTGTATTTAAAATCTGCACACAAATCCTTAAAGTGGTGTTGAACCCACAACCAAAAATGTAATATATTGCAGCAGCTTACCAGTCATTGGCTGCATTAGTTTATTCGTTAGTCTTTTTCCCTCTGTTTTCACCAGGTTATCTGGCTAGTAACACACCTCCTGTACTAGAGTGTCCTACTCTGGATAAAGGAGCACAGGAGGTACCTTTAAACAGAAGCATTGCCAGTCTAGGGGAAGGGAAATGTTAGATGTACTAGCAGATTTAGATACACTAACAGATTGAAGCCAAGCTCCAGCTCACACTTTATAAGCATGTACAGCAACATTTCTTTTTTCCTTTTGGAAAAAAAGGTTTGGTTATAAACTAACCTAAGACACCAGACTTTAAAGTATATGCTATACACGTGATTTACTGTTCAAATTATTGCTTTGTATTATTCACATTATTACCTGCATCCTCACTTACTAAATGCTTGGCATACACTTTTTATCTACATAAGTTTGAAAAGCCAGATGGTTGTATATTACAAATGACATATTAATTTATATCTCCCAGGAAACTGAGACCTGTCAATTTCAGTCCTAATTGTTCAGTGCTAGGTGGGCGTTTTGCCTTTTTCTTTTATACATCTCATAACAAAATCAATGAATGTATTTTCAAAAGGTTATTGTTATTCATTTAAATCCTTCTCTTGGTTCTTTTCTTCAATGGTCTGCCAGTGTAAACAGCATTTATGCCAGTAGTTTAGCACTATAGAATAGGCCAATCATTAGGTGACAATGATGCATTCTATCGTATGCCACTTTGTGTTGACAATTTGAAGGAATTGAGGCAGACATTTATCAATCCTGTAGCAAGACAAATCAATACTAAACAGTGCAGTGAGACACACCATTAGACAGATTTATTACAGGTTTACAGCCCAAGTCATAAATTGCTCTTTGGCTGCTGTAAAGTCCACACTTAAAACTGACCCTGACCACGTCTTAATTCTGTGTGGAAATCTGTCTTGAAACTTTGCAAACTGTCGCACTTGGCTGTCTAGTAATACAAATGCACAGGGCCACAAACCTGTTGTAGAGACTTTGCTGAGGGAGACATAGCCTTACTTGCAACTCACTGTGTTTAAAGTTAGCAGTCAAACATTTGAAAGAGTTTTAAGAAGTTTTTGCATAAGACAGACATTTATTATTTATTTCAGGTACTTATATAGCGCCGTCAATTTACGCAGCGCTTTACATATATATATATTACATTCACATCAGTCCCTAAACCCTCAAGGGGTGTACAATCTAAGGTCCCTAGCTTACATTCATACATACACATACTAGGGACAATTTAGACAGGATCCAAGTCACCTACCAGCATGTCTTTGGAGTGTGGGAGGAAACCGAAGTACCCAGAGGAAACCCACCCAGGCACAGGGAGAACATGCAAACTCCAGGCAGGTGGTGCCGTGGTTGGGATTTGAACCAACGACCCTAGTACTGCCAGGCGGAAGTGCTAACCATTTAACCACTGTGCTGCCCAGACATGTACACCATGCATTTGTGGTTGTTGGTTATGTCTCTGGGTGTGTATGAAATAAAGATGCAATCTTCCATTAATAACCGGTTCTGTTGCTAGTTAGATATTGTTTCTTCCTGTTTGTGAAGTACTAATCTCTTCCAGTGCGCACCAGTAAGAGATATTTAATCCGACTGACAGTAGTATCATACACTTGAATGACTACTTGGAAAAACAAAGAGAAATCTGAAATCCACTTGAATGACTACTTGGAAAAGCAAACAGAAATCTGAAATCCATACATGGACTAGCTTGCAGCACCCACCAAAAAACTGAAGCATGAATACACTGACACCAATGGGTTAGATCAAGTAGTGGTCAGTTATTCAAAAAAGAGCGTGATACAAACAAAGTCTATGATATAATAAACATGTAAATGTTTTTGCAATGGAATTAAGTATATATACAGTGGATATAAAAAGTCTACACACCCCTGTTAAAATGTCAGGTTTCTGTGATGTAAAAAAATGAGACAAAGATACATAATTTCAGAACTTTTTCCACCTTTAATTTAACCTATAAACTGTACAACTCTTTTAGTGGAGAGAAGTAAAAATAAAAAAAATAAAATAATATGGTTGCATAAGTGTGCACACCCTTAAACTAATACTTTGCTGAAGCATCTTTTGATTTTATTACAGCACTCAGTCTTTTTGGGTATGAGTCTATCAGCATGGCACATCTTGACTTGGCAATATTTGCCCACTTTTCCTTAAAAAAAACACTCCAAATCTGTCAAATTTGGAGATTTTCGATCAGATTCAGGTCTGGGCTCTGGCTGGGCCATTCCAGAACTTTAATCTTTTTCTGGTGAAGCCATTCCTTTGTTGATTTGGATGTATGCTTTGGGTCGCTGTCATGCTGAAAGATGAAGTTCCTCTTCATGTTTAGCTTTCTAGCAGAAGCCTGAAGGTTTTGTGCCAATATTGACTGGTATTTGGAACTGTTCATAATTATCTCTACCTGGACAAAGGCCTCAGTTCCAGCTGAAGAAAAACAGCCCCAAAGCATGATGCTGCCACCACCATGTTTCACTGTGGGAATGGTGTTCTTTTGGTGATGTGCAGTGTTGTTTTTTGCGCCAAAGATCTTTTGGAATTATGGCCAAAAAGTTCAACCTTGGTTTCATCAGACCATAACACATTTTCCCACATGCTTCAGATGTGTTTTTTACGAAATTTAGCCGGGCTTGCATGATTTTCTTCATAAGAAAAGGCTTCCGGCTTGCCACTCTACCCCATAGCCCAGACATCTGAAGAAAACGGGAGATTGTTGTCACATGTACCACACAGCCAGTACTTGCCAGATATTCCTGCAGCTCCTTTAATGTTTCTGTAGGCCTCTTGGCAGCCTCCCAGACCACTTTTCTTCTCGTCTTTTCATCAATTTTGGAGGGACGTCCAGTTCTTGGTAATGTCATTGTTGCGCGATATTTTCTCCACTTGATGATGACTGTCTTCACTGTGTTCCATGGTATATCTAATGTCTTGGAAATTATTTTGTACTCTTCTCCTGACTGATACCTTTTAACAATGAGATCCCTCTGATGCTTTGGAAGCTCTCTGTGGACCATGGCTTTTGCTGTAGAATCCGACTAAGAAAATGCCAGGAAAGACCGACTAGAACAGCTGAACTTTATTTGGGGTTAATCAGAGGCACTTTAAATGATGGCAGGTGTGTACTGACTCCTTTTTAACATGATTTTGAATGTGATTGTTTCATTATGAAGACAGCTACATCCCCAGTTTTAAGAGGGTATGCACACTTATGCAACCACATTATTTTAGTTTTTTATGTTAACTCCCCCCTAAAAGATTTCAGGTTGTTTTTCAATTGAGTTGCACAGTTTATAGGTCACATTAAAGGTGGAAAAAGTTATGTAATGATTTATCTTATGTTGTCTAATTTTTTTTTACATCACAGAAACCTGACATTTAAGAGGGGTGTGTAGACTTTTTATATCCAGTATATTCCTTTTAGATTTGTCTTGGAAAAACATGATTAGATGTTTTATTGTATGTGTATCTCATGCAGTGCTTTTGAATGATATTTTCAGGTTTCCTTTGCAAGATACTGTGCCTTGACAAACTGCTCTGCAGATTTACAGATCTCAGGAAAGGTTTCCTTCCCAGGGTGAGTTTCAATACAGGGGATCCGATTTCAAAAATAAATTATTTTCATGTCAGATTAACCTGATATTTCCTTTCAGCTGTACTAAAAAGCTCTTCATTACATTTTATTCTGCCTTTGCTATAAGCAGGATTTCACGAAACTTCCCTCTTCAAATACAACGTTGCTCTACTCCTGTCCTCAAGTCATATTTTCAGGATTTCCTGGCTTTTCCTTTGAAACCTTGAGTTGGTAAACACTGTCCATATGGGAAATGCCACAGATGACAGACAGTAGGGCTGCATTGACAGCTTTGGCCCATATCTATCAGCCCATGCAGGGAAGTTCTTTGAATGCAGCCTGTCTGGCTGTTGGCCATTCTCTACTTTTTAGATAAGAAGCAATCCTTAGGGAAACAACCTGTGACAGCAGAGAAGGGGAATGTTTGATGGGCACAGGAAAGCTTGGTTTTAGTCACAAATTTTTTAATATTTTAATCCGGATAGAGGGGGAAAGCATTATGCTCTGTCAGGCTTTTATTGCTCTCTGTCTCCCCGGTGATATTTACCCTGATATCCTGTAACCATTGTCACTTCTCCAATGAGATAGAAGCACTAAAATCACCACTAAGGCCTCATGCACATTGGGAATTTTAACACAGCTGCTGTTTTTGGCTTCTGTTTTTTTTCTACAGCCAGTAAACTCCCCAGCATGTCATTCTATATCTCAATGCACACATATTCTTTAATCAGCATTTTTTGGCAGGGGCATCTTCTGGCTGGAGAAAAAAAAGCAAAATGCTGGTAAACGCAGTAAAATGTGGCAAACCGGTGTTTTTGAGTATTTTTTTAGCCAATTTTTTTTTTTGGTGCAAAAAAAAAAAAACACTAAAAGACGCTAGCAAAAATGCAACTAAACACACAAAACTCGCAATTCAAAAACTCTAAAAAATGCAGAAAAACTCAGGTGTTTAACATGACTTTATACAACTAACGCTACTGGCGTTTTTAAAATGCCCAGTGTGCATGAGGCCTTATGGTAAAGTGGGGAAAAATTACAATCCCTGTTGGATGATTTTTTGCTGTTGGTGTTTTCTTCCCCAATAACCATTTCCCCTTGTTTCTTGTTCTACTGTCACAAGGACAGGAAATGAGGGGAAATTACAGATGGTAATTAAAAGCTGCCACTGGATCTAACCAAATCTTTCCATACTCTATCAAAGACAAAAGAAAATGTTTTGGTTTGAGTAAGACTACATTCAAATCAATGTTTGTATCTGACAGCAGCTAAACACAATTAATTTGCACTTGAAAAAGATTTCCTGCAAATATTTGCGGTTTGTAAATGATTTTAGCTGCGTTTTGGGGTGTCAGCGTTTTCAGATGTTTTTTTTTAATTCCCCACTCTTGGGGAGGTGGTTATAACCCAGGCACCACCTCTTCCTCTTTGTGGGTAGTTTTCTGAGTAAGGAGATATAGCTGTGCAATTGAAATGGGATACAGAGCAAAGCTGGTGTGCCTGCTTTAGAGGAGAAGATTGAGGGTTGGTTCACATACCCTCAATCTTCTCCTGCAATTCCTGCAAGTTTCTGTGCGGTGCGGTTTCACAGGTCGTTCATTGGAATGAGCTGCAAATCTCACCAGAATGTGGAAAAACTAGTGCATGCATTATTTTTAAAAACGTACCGCTCCAAACAGCACAGTCATGCGATACCATGTGATTTGGTGCCCGCAAACACACTGCATTAATCTGCATTTGAAGTACCATTAACAATACATTGGTATCCGCATGCAGATCGCAAGAACAATGTGGCCAGCTGTGGTGCAGGAAGCGCACACAAAAAGATGAGGCTCTCGTTCTCATCAACATGGGGACAAGGGGCTTTGCCAGGGGGTTACCCCCTTCATGTTGAGACCATGTGGCCAGTTATAGTTCAGGAAAGGGGGAGGTTCCCCACCCCCCCTTTCCTGGCCAGCCATGCTGCATGGTCAGATTAAGGGTCTGGTATGCATTTTTAGGAAAGCTCAGGCTTTTTTTTTTTTTTTTTTTGTGAAGTCCTCCTTAAAACTCATTTTGTGGAGAATTGTTTTCTTCATTATTGCTGTAGGATGTGCTACAGCAAAAGTGACATTTACAAAATGTTAAAAAAAAGAAAAAAAAAAAGCACACAGACCTCACTAAAGGTCCCCCAATATATATATATATATATATATATATATATATATATATAGCAGACCCTTAAAGGGGTCTGTGTGTGTTTTTTTTTTTTTGCATTGTTACATGTTCCCCAGGACTGTGCCCACCTTCCCCCACCCATGCTATTTTTGACACCCCTTTGCCTATTAGCCCAGTAAATGGGAATTTTTAATTTTACAAATTCGGCTCCCATTGATTTCAGTCTGGTTCAGGTTTAGCATCCAAAGTTCGCCAAACCCTGCTCCAACTGATCCCAGGGCAGTTCAGCTCATCTTTATTAAGAAAGTACCTCTGTTTAAAAAAATATTACGTTGCTGTAGATAAAAAGCATACATTTTATTATATAATTTGTCCAGTTTATCATTTCATTTAACATTATGCATAACATTATGTTTCTACAATGCACTGCAAACATATTCACAAATGAAGTAAAGACAATTTTTAATGCTGCACTAAAATAAACAAACAAGATGAAAAAATCTTAATGGCTTTAAAAAAAATAGACAATAAAAAATAGCAGAAAAGTAATAGCTAATGGGGGAGAAGGAAGGGGAAGGAGTTAATTATGGCTGATTAGGATGGACTATGGGTTAATAAGGGGTGAAACGAGAATACATTTTTTTTTTTTTGCAAGTTTGCTTTACCTGACATCATATGCAGATCAAAGCTAATCCCTTTGATCTGCAGTTGAATAAAACAGGTACAAAGTAACAACAATGTTACTGTGTATTTCTGAATCACTCTGCTGAACAGTGTTTACAAACACTGATTAGAAGATCTGTTAGGGGCTAGAGCCAGCTGCTGTATTTACAGCTCTCACTGAAGAAGGAGAACTGAGCGATCAGCAGTCTTAGATCACTCAGTTCCCGGTGTAGAGGCGGCGGGGAACAGATGCAGCATCGGACCAATGCTGCATTCACCTAGGTGAGTGTGCGGTTTTCTTTTTCAATTTCTGAACTTCTCTTTTAAATCTTGGTGTGCTGTGAGTGATTCTTCAGTATCTGTGCAGTAATCCAACATGAGACAACCACTGTACTTTGATTTTTGCAGCAACTTCCTGTGATACAGACCAGTCACTGCTGCTTTCTCTCCTTTTGCAGAGTGACTGGTCTTGTATCCACCCCCTCCTGTAGTTCTCTGCAGGTAGCCTTTAGTGGGTGGGCCTGCTGGGTTCCTCCGATAGCTCTGCTTTTTGCACAGGCTATTTGCAGCCCAGTGATGATGTCACCTCTACTTTTACAAGATAATAGATATGAAATGACATTTGGTGCACACAAAGTGAATTTATATCTTTTGCAGCTTTTAAGGGATATATTTCAATGAACTTTTGTGACCAGAATTCAGTTTTAACCACTTGCCTACAGGGCACTCTTACCCCCTTCCTGCACAGGCCAATTTTCAGCTTTTAGCACTGTTGCAATTTGAATGACAATGTCATGCGACACTGTACCCATAAAAAATTTTTTATATATTTTTTTCACACAAATAGAGCTTTCTTTTGGTGGTATTTAATTGCCACTGGGGTTTTTATTTTTTGCGCTATAAATGAAAAAAAAAGAGCAAAACATTTTTTAAAAAATGTTTTTCTTTGTTTCTATTACAAAATTTTCTCCTTCACTGATGTGCACTGATGAGGCTGCACTGATAGGCAACACTGATGGGCACTGATAGGCGGCACTGACTGATGACACTGACTGGTGGCACTGATGGGTGCCACTGATGGGTGCCACTGATGGGTGCCACTGCTGGGCACTTTTGGGGCTGCACTGATAATCAGTGCCCTGATTATCAGTGCAGATGTCCTCTGTGACACTTGCCGGTTATCGGCAGTACTTTCCTCATGTTGTGACAGCATGAGGAAAGTGCTGCCAATAACCTGCAACTGTATTTACTTTGTGATCAGCTGTGTCATTGGACACAGCTGATCACGTGGTAAAGGGCTGCTGTGATTGGCCTTTTACCTTGTCATGTGATCAGCTGTGTCCTTAGGACACAGCGATTACAGACAGCTCTGGGGGCATGCAGGGGGTGTGTTCTGGCAGGTTGTCATATGACGCCTTCCCAGAACTGGACAACCGCGCTGTAGCCGTCATTCAGCTATAGCTCGGTTATCAAGTGGTTAAAGGGTGACTCAAGCTTCGTTGGGAAAAAAACAGCAAATAATGAAAAATTATATACAATTTCTACACAAACCATATTGTAATTGAATGGTAGTAAAAATGACCTTTCCTTTTAATCTGAATTGCTGTAATTTTCTGTAAAATTCAATGCAATATGGCAACATGGAGGCACTTTCTATACAGTTGGTGTATGGAATGCCCCTGAGATGTAATTTCTTGCTTTGTGATTGGCTCGCTGATTTTCAAAGTCACATTTTAGGCGATAACATTTTCATTTTTGGTGAGATACTCCCAAAGGGACAATCACTGCTAAAGCGATGCTGACATTGTAACTGTCCTCATTAGAACACTGCAAGTGCATTAGCTGAATAATATTGAAAAAGTCACTCCCATTCAGATTCACTCTTGACACTCTTGAGTCAAACAAAGCTATTTCTTTAGAACAGAAACATGTAGGACTCTGCAACAAAGTTTGTTAAAATCCTTTTTTTTTTTCACAACAAAAATGGAGCTACTATTTAACTTCTCTTACATCAAGTTTAGGGTCCCTGCTGAGAAAAGTTATCAAACTTTCTCCAGTAGTCATTAGTAGAATAGAAGAAATAATTTATACTGTAAGTAATGTGGTGAAAAGAGGTTCACTTTCTCCACTTCATCTGCATGAAAGCATAGTAGGAGGTTTTTTATATAAGGGTGTGCAAGTCATAA